AGGCTTTATCTGTGTGGTTTTAGACCTGGCAAATCCACCATGGGCCAGATATCCACAATACGCAAAATCTTGGAATAGACCTGTGAGAAAAGGATGGAGACTTACCATCTATTTGTAGACTTCCAATCCGCTTTCGACAACACTAAAAGGAGTTGTCTATACGTCGCGATTTCTGAATTTGGTACCCCCGCGAAACTGATACGACTGTGTAAAATGACGTTGAGCAATACCACTTCCGTCAGAATTGGAAAAGACCTCTCCGAGCCGTGAGATTTCTTTAATCTGATGTTGGAGAAGATAATAAGAGCCGCAGAACTGAACCGCTCAGGAACAATTTACTACAAGACCGTGCACTGCGAAGGAAGTGGGGAAGGACTCGGCTTCACTAGGCATTTCCAATTAGCGTCAGCTGGCACAGAAGAAGAGCGACTGGCGTGCTTTATTAAACTCGGCCAAACTGGAGCTAACCTAATGCTAAAAACTAAGCAATTGCTTTTATTAAAATTTCATACCTTTCACTAAAAGGTCTGAAATTTTAAGAAAAGGTAGGTTTTATGCATACGGCCCAATATGTTATTGTTTGGCCAAAGTTTTCCTCAGATTTGTTTCGTTTCATGATTAAATTCACTTTGATTTGTATTGCACATAAATATTTACTTAAAAATATACATAATATCAGGGTAGCCAAAAATTCGGAGTTCGAGCGAGCAAACTCCTACTCAATGCCTCGCAGGCAACAAGGCGCTCGCAGCTCGTACTCAAAGCAGCAATGAGGCGAGGCACGAGAAGTGTGGCTTGCTCGGCAAACGAGCGAGCGCTGCTTGGTTGCTCGCGCTCCTGTTAAACGAGCGAGGCTGCTGTGTGTTGCCTCGCTCGCAGTGTTCAGGCGAGTAGCTGTCTGCAAACTCGCTCGGCTAGGTAAGACGAGTGAGCGACGAGTGAGCGACGAGCCAGCGCTCAACACATCAAGAATGATAGAATACAAGATTGCGCCAACGAGAGAGGATTTTTGAGCGTAATTTTTGCGTGACGTCATCTTGGTGCAATTGCAAGAGAGAAATGCCAAAACGCATATAAAAATATGTAAACAATGCAGAGTAATCTGTTAATTTTAATATTACATGGCCCAATTTTGCAGGAATCAATAAATATGCAAAGATTGATTAATTAGGAACACGTAGCAATAATTTTGGACATGTAGCCCTTTAGGTAAGTACGATTTTTAGCACATGAAAAAATGGATGTATTAAAAGTGTTTGCAATTTCATGTAGACCAAAAGGATGGTGTGCAGCAATGTGAATTTTTTGACTCACCATTGTAAAAAGCCATGCAGAGTGCATATTTATATTTGTGGACGGTAGCCAACCACCATAAACTCCACAGCTGTTGACTCCACAGCTTTTATTTGATGACTTTTGTACCATGCAATGCAATCAGTATGAAAATACACAAGAGGGCTATTCGCGATTCGGTGCATAAGAGCTGACAAATTTATGCAATTGCAGAAATATGCCATGGATTGTGAGCGAACTTTATTAAACTGTCATGGTAAAGCTTTTGCAAAACAATTTTTGTGCATCAGCTTTAGTTTTGTTTATGAATACAATACAAATTTGCAATGCAATGATGCTAGACCATTTGCACCGGATCGCGAATAGCCCTAATATGTTACCTATTTGGAACTGTGTATTATTTTCAATATCTTCAATAGTAAAGTGCTTCATGCACACATAGCTCGATTTGGTGTTTAATGCATCTCCTCGCCGGCAGAACGGCTTCCACTTTTTCGCCAGATTTGCGTCCGTAGGAAACGAAAAAAAACTTATATCGCACGCTTTCCTTTTGTTTTCACTATTACACTTTGCCACGGCACACTTCATTTGCTTTGTAATGTCTCAATAATTGTTTAAAACCACGCAGAAATATTAACGCACAAATATTAAAATTGTTATTTGGTTTTTTCATATGCTCACAATCAACAATTGCACCAAGATGACGTCACGCACACAGCTGATTCTGTCAAAATCACAAAGAGCGGATTAGCGGTACCGCCATTGGCGCAATCTCTATTTCTCTCAATCGTGTCAACACATGCCTTTTTGGCCATAAAAATGTGTGAATGAATGTCAATAGATTATTTACGAAAATATGTTAATATATGTATGTACGTACATTAGGGTGGTCCAAAAACAGTAAAGTCGGAATTGTAATGCTATCACCCCTTGGATTTTTCTATATCGAAAATATGTAAACCCCTATTTTTTGGTTTTGAAATCAAAAAATATTTAAAGGTCGCACAAATCGCTCAAAGTTTTCCATGTATTTTTATATGGGGAAAAAACAACTTTTCGTGTAAATGGTATGGATTTCTTGAAAATAAATATTTTTCGATCGGAAAACTCTGGTTGTCTTCAGGAGACTTTCAATAACAATACTCAATTGTTTATTTAACTATTTTTCAATACTAACGATTAAAATAAAAAATTGGGGTATATTTTATCGGTATAGAATAATCCTAGGGGGTTACATCAGAGAAATTCCGACTTTACTTTTTCACGTGTATTTTGGGCCCACCCTAATTTACATACATATTCATATAAATATGTGAATATTATATTAGGCCAGCATTTAAATCAACAAATAAAATTTATTTACATACACAAGCATAGATTATTTAATACAACATTTTTAAATAAATATGTACATACATAACATGCATATTTATATATGTACGTATGTAAGTATATATGTATGGACACATGCATGTATTTTGTGTTTACAGAGAAAATAAGTAAAGAGGGTAGTATATCGTTTGTGCCGCCGAAACAAAAAAAAACAACTAGGCTCTTTTTAACACCCCAAAATAGTTTGCTATTTACTTGTAGCAGTTATGCTCTATACCTGAAAGAAATATATGTACATAATCCTTTGCGAATATATTTATTTGTGGCCTGTTGTCCAAGGACATATGGATGTAGAATTGTATGTATGTATGTATATCGAGCCCTAACCGCCAAAATAACGTAAGCGACATTTTTTTTTAATTTTTCTTTTTGATGCAGAAATGCATCTAGACGCTCTAGGAACATGAGAAAAATTGCGTAAGCAAAGAATAGAGGCCGGTTCACATACAACTTTGGCGTTGTGAATTTCAATGCAGCTGTCCACATAGCCAAAATTTGGCAAGGCTTAAAGCCAACACAAAGCAGAAAGATCGCGTGCGTCGGTCGTCAGCTATTGCGAATGAATAAAATTATGTGAAATGTTTTGTCCTTTTAATCAGAGATCGAAAATAACCGTCACCAAGTGTCTTGTATGGTGTTTACCACTGACACAAACACTCATCTCTCAAGCAAAGAGTGTTTCTCACCGTGGCATATCACTCTGTGCGATCTTTTTGTGTTTTCCGTTGTGGGTTATTTATCAACTGCTAAAATTCCCCATAGGCAAAGACACTTAGGCAGGGACTTTTATTTTTAAGTGTCTTAATTTGTGGTTTATTGTAAGACTGAAAAATATAAGTGGGCGTACATAAGTGGAAGCAAAGCGTTAGGCATTTCTTTACACGGCATATACATACACATACATGTGCGAACATTTATGACAAAGAAGAGAGCGTGCACATTCATAATATGATACAACGAAAATAAGTAATTTTATTTTATTGATAAAGAAAAGGATAAAGTCAAAGGTAAAAATAAAAACAAAAACAAAGATGCGTAAAGATAAATGCAAAAATTATAATCAAGGTAAATTTAAAAATTTTACTAATATAAGGGCAAAGGTGCAGGAGAATATGTAGATATAGAAAATGATAGACATAAAGATGATAAAGATAAATATTAAGAAAAATATTAGGATGAGTAAAGATGAAGATAAAGAAAGAAAGATTAAAATAAAGGTAATTATAAAGAAAATGATATAGTCACAGATTTGATATGTTTCTACACACTTCTACGGTACCCTGCGTGCACGTTCGTGGGTTACCGTGCTCTAACACTTTTTCCTCTTTCAGCGATAAGTGTCCGTGTCCAACAATTGCTCGCTTAGGAGGTTTTTAGAATTATATTTTTATTTTAATTCCCTTATCGCTCGTTTAGAAGGATATACAAAGATACATTCCAAATACAAAAGAGTATGGCACAATAGGGAGTATTCGTACCGTTCTACTGAGTACATAAAAACAGACTTTACAAATTTATGAGTATGAGTATGAGATTTCTAACATCCAGTGCCATCAAATCATCAAATCAACTCTTGGCATTATTTTCATTCAAATATGCATCTAATTTATCAAAAGCTTCCGTATACACCTCGTATAGTGTAAAAATGCAACAAGCTTGCATTGACAAACGTATGAACCTTGGTATCATACCTTTATAAAAAGCTAATACGCCTTCGATATGATATATTTTGGATACACAATCTAGAGTATTTTTATATTTAGCTGCTTCTAATCCTTGCATGCGCGTTTTTAATGTATCGACAGGTGTATTCACCAATACTGCACTGCCGCCTGCTAGCAATCCAAACACAGCCACCATCCATTTCGGCGGTTTCCGCGTGGGATTATCACCTTTGTAATAATTCTTGAATGTCTCCATCACTGGAAATCGTATTGCATGATTTGAGCATTGTCGGAGTAGTGTGGGTGTAAGGCCCATGTAAATGCCACGAAAACCTGAAAGATAGTAGTATATTATTAAAAAATGTATTATTTTTTTAGAAAATAATGATGACCCTCATTGCGAAAGTCGTGTCGAATGCAGTCGTTTTTCGAGAGTCGAAGTATCGAAAATTTCACTTCATTGCCTAAAATTTCCTTTCGACTAGTGTATTAAAACAGAAAAACTTGGCAGCTCTGTATAGTTTTCGACGATTTTGGTCGTTTACTTATTTCAGTACTACAATAGACAATGCTACAGTTGTGGAGTCGTGAAATTTAGTCTAATTTACTACTTACGCAATGAGGCTGGATACAATATTGAAAGTCTTATATTAATCAGACAACTGACGGCGGTTTTTGAAGTATTTTTTAACCACAGTTTTACTTTACACGGAAATAGTAAGGCTGTGCCAGAGATGCATCAAACCAAAGCATAGAGACTGCTCTATTATTTCTAAACTATAATTGATGGAAATGCCTTATTTGCGCAACTAAATTCCAATTCGGGATTTAACCGTGATTGCACATATTGGACATTTCCATCAATTATAGTTTAGAAGTAAAGAGACTGGTGCTTTGGCTTGATGCATTTCTGAACACAGGGTAATGACTACGTTAAAATATTCTCATTAAAGATAAGATGGAAATGTCAATAAGGACATCATCATTACATAACGTTTCCTTAATATAAAAAGGCCCTATCTAACATTTTGGTTTCTTTCAGTACCTAATGATGAGAAAACTCCCTAGAAAATCAATTGTTTTTGCTGCGAATTTCTTGCAAAGGCTGTTTTTATTAAAGAATATAAAAAATATGTTTCCGTATTAGTTATTTTTAAAATCCGATAGGTTTTTAGTGAGTAATCGCCTGACTTTTGTACAGTGCTGGATTTGAAAAGAAAATGAGTTGGAGCCTTTCTATATTAACGAAACGATTGTAGACACTATTAATTAAAATTAATCAATATTATACAAATCTTCCAATTGATTTTCTTGTTGATGGGACAGAAATTTTAGGGCTATTTACAATGCCTTTAAAATCGGGTACATACCATCCGTTTTTAAAATGACACGAGCAGCATGAAAAAAGCTACGATACTGTGATTTTTTACTGCGTCGATCATTTATTAGTTTCACTTTCAAGGTTTCCATCGGTGTTGTGACAAGGATAGATTCCACAATTCCAGTCGCAAAGCCACATAGGAAGCTATTGTACGTTGATAATATTTTATTCTCGTCGACTAGATAAGACTTGAAAAATTCAAATGAGCCAAAGCTGGATGATATTCGACACATTTATCATAAAAACTGTCATATTTTCTTACATTACGTACCATACTGCGGTTTTTGGTATGCTACCATAAAGTAGGGCACTCATTCCGCGGTAGAGTCCCCGGAAGCCATATTGCTTGGTGGTCTTCCTAAAACAATCCAGCACACCGTTGTACATCTTTTGGGTGGGCTTTCCAAAACGGAACCAATCGAAATTTCAGCGAAAGTATAAGGAATTTCGTCATGAAACTTGGTGAGGATGTTGGGGGAGGCCTCCTCAACATGACTTGTTCACTCTCATAATATAATTGCTAATAGTATTTTAGCAATTTGTTGTTAAATAATGTCTACTATCACCCCCTAATTTTTTTAAAATATGCCACTTATCACTTATATTTTGTGTTACATATTATATTTTCAATGCTCACATGCGTATTTTATGCTTTTATTACATATAATTCACCAATTAATTAAGTAAAACGCGTTTATAAATTTGTGTTCACGTTTTACCACTTTTCACAAACAAACAGAAATAACAATGGCCGACAGTAAGAGCAAATATGTGCTGCCATACGTTTTAAAAGTAAATACGCCATTATTAAAGGATTTTATTAAAACGCGGCCAACACAAAAAAGGAGTTGTGCGTAAAATCGTCATATTTTTATGGCAACCGTATTCCAACGGTATTTCTTTTATTCTCTTCTTATTTTTTCGCATGCAGAAGCTTTTTTTTTTAATATACTTTTATAAATTATGAAATTTTTTTATATAAAATCGCGTGATTTTATATAAAACACCCAGTAACCATATATTAATATAGTTCCATATTGTGGCGAATACTGCGGCAACACAAAGCGAACAACGAGAAATAGGCA